TCTCTCCACATGCCCTTTTGATGGATCTCTCTTATGAGGGACCTCTTGAGAGCCTTGCACGGTTTGGCACCTACCCACACACCACCAGGGTCCCATAGCTCAACCCTCGACCCAGCGGGGGAGGGGCGTTCCCCTCCATACCTCTCTGCAGGCTGATTTCCTTTTTTGCCTGAATTGTCCCTTCCCTTTTCACTGCCCCCTTCCACCCAAATAGCCATCTCTACCACCCCTTGCTGCTTTGTGTGAAGTAATGTTCTCACTCTCATTTACACAGATGGCAGTTAAATAATGTTCTGAAGGCTGGCTTGCGGAACTCGAACCACTCACCTGGGTTTGGGGGTTACTTTTTCCCTTTCAAAAAAAAATCACTTGTGATTTTAAATATCTGACTAAAATAAAAACAGCTAAACTACAAGAAAGATGTTTTCCTGAGTGGATCGCTGGAATCATAACAGTGCTATTTATTACATTTAAGTAAAGTGGGAAGAAAGAATTTGTCAGCAGCGTGCTTCAGGAATACACTGGACAGTCTAATGGGCTTTTCCACACTTGAATTATCAGCAAGCTGTAGCATATTGCTGCATTCATTCACAAATGATTTCTTAGGACTTCTGATCTTTCCTTCAGTAGTATGTTATTGGCAGGATTTAACAAAGATGATGCCCACAGGTATTTGCTTCTAAAGCAGTTGAAATATAACCGTAAGGGAACAATCTATTCTGTGGGAATTTCCCTAATGGGGTGTACAGAGTGATGACTTGTGACTTGTCTAAAGGATGCTATCTTTTTGAGACTTTTGGCGTGTCCCAGAATCTCAAGTTGGTTTAGGAGTTTCTCCTTCAAGGAGTAAATTCTTTCCAGATGGTATGAGTTTGGAGTGGGGCAGGAGATACTCTTTCCTAGCAGAAAGCTAAGACGCAGTGCTGAGTTATCCTCCCAAAACGATGAACAGAAATAAAAGGTTTATCCTGTCTTCTCTAAAAGTTACTTTAAGCATGTTCAGATTACCTCAAGTATAAACATTGTATTTAATGCCAGTGAGCATTTTACTCTCTTGATAAGGTAGAAATTAATGCATTATAAGATTCTAAAAGCTACGGTTGGAAAATGTCTTTTAGTCTTACCTATTTTCTCTCCACACCAAGTTGTCCACAGAGCGTTCAGTAGTCATAGAGGTCCTGGCCTCATAAATGAGTTCTCAGTCCCACAGGTAATCCCGGAGTTTGCCCCCTTCTAAAGGCCATCTGGTGTTGTGAGTTGCATCACTTTGTACTAAAGCCTCCTGCTGTTTCTTCCTGTCGATCGATCGATTGGTCGTGGGACAACTGGGGGTCACTGCGTTCTCTCCTAGTCTGACGGGAGTGAAGAGGGTTCCCTTCTTACATTAGACACTCTCACGGCAGTATATTCTGTACGCTTCTGTATATTCCAGTTCCTCTTTTGTCTTAACTCCAAAGCTGTGGTTCTCAGACAGGGCAATTTGGCCCCCAGGACACATTTGGCAACGTCTGGAGAAAGTTTTCATTGTCACAGCTAGTGAGTGGGGACTCCTGGCATTCACCGGGTGGAGGCAGGGGTGCTGCCAAACATCCGGCAATGCACAGGACAGTCGCGCACAACAAAGAGTTATCTGGAAAAATGTCAGCAGTGCCAAGGTTGAGAAACTCGGGACTGCTGCTGTGCCCACCCAACTCAGGTTCCAGGGGGTATCTGCTGCTCACCAGGTCGGTGCATTACATTTACTTCCTATGTGGCCCAGAATCTCTGTCACAGGAACCTAATTACCTGTCCTCCTTAATTCTCTCCTGGAAGTTCTTTCCCATTAGGTGTTGGTATTTCAAAGGAGTACATTTTAATATATTTTTTTTTCTTCTTGGAGTTTTCTTTTTTTCTTTGGGATCCATTTTTCTAGGTCAGTAATGAAAACAAGCCCTCATTTACAGTTCGTTACTAAGTGCACGACCTTTTCCATGTCGTTTGACTTCTCTTTGCTGCCCTAGTTTTCTCATCTGGATTATGCAGATAATAATACTGTTTTCATATAGTTAGAATAGCAAAGGAGTATTACATATACTATTATTGCATATTAGTAACTGAAATAATACACTAGTATTACATCTGTTAATAAGCATACAAATATATGTAAAGTGCTCTTAGAGTGAGTCATAGAATCACATGCTCTCTTTTGAATGTAGAATTTCTTACGATGCTTAGCAATTTTCTGTTTATGGCCATAAAATCTGAAACATATTCTAAGCCCTTCATATTAGACAAATGCCTTGTATAGTTCATTTCTTTTAGTATGTGCATCAGCAAACATTTGAAATATTAGTGCTAAAAGGAAATTCAAAAAGTTGTCAAACCATGACTGTGAACTCTGATTTTCAGTTTGGTCTCATACCCCTTCTAACTCTTGCATCTGGTCAGCGTTGACTCTGGACTCCATTAGGGCTTAGTGTGGGTACTTCAGGGCACTCATGTCATTGTTCTCCTTTCAGGAACATAGGCTGAGACTAGGAAAACCCCCCTGAGCTAAATTGAACAGGAAGAAGATCTGAAACGCTCCAGTTTCTACCATTACACACCTGGGGCTGATGTAGCAATGAAGAACGCAGACCTTATCGTCTCAGAATTTTCTTAGAGGAACCTTAGTGATAATTCAGTCATCATCATCTGTATCTAGTATAAAATCCCCATCTTAGAGATGTGGAAAGAGACTTAGAACTGAACATTTTAAGGAACTAAATAATGGTAGAGCTGGAACAAGAGAGCAGGGCTGGAATATGGTCTTCTAATGCTCATTGCTGTGATTTTTGTTCCCCACTAACCTGACTCCTCACCACCTCATTTTCCTCTGTATGCTTTTGTTTCTCTCTTAATAGCATCATGCTTCTTTGTTACCTGTTCTTCCTATTGTGAATTTAAAATATTGACCACTCAATACCAGGTTTTAATGTGTCACTCTTTTAATCAATATTCCTGTATTAATATGACCAGAATCTGGTAAATGATATCACTGTTCACCTAGGTACTCAGGCAAAAACCTTAAATCACCCTTGATTCCTCGCATTCTTTTCCACCCCACATCCAAATCCTAAATCCTAACATCTTCAAAATATGTGCCAATTCCTACCACTTCTTTCCACCTTCAGCATAGCTGCTCTGGCCTGCAATGTCCAGTAGAACTTTCTGTGACAATGGAGATGTTCTGTATCCGTGGTGTCCTATATAGTAGTCACTAGCCACCTGTGGCCATTGAGTGTTTGAAATGTGACTAAGTGTGACTGAGGAACTGAATTTTTTTTATATCAGCTTTATCAATACATAATTTACATACCCTAAAATCCACTCATTTAAAGGGTACAATTCTATGGTATATATCATGTAATTGTGCAACTGTCACCTTATATCAGTTAATCAGTGTTTGAGCATTTTCATTGCCCCCAAAAGAAACCCCATAACCACAAGCAGTTACTTCCCATTCTGGCCCCGCCCCCCAAAAACTCCCACCTCCTGATAATCTTTAGTCTACTTTCTGTCTCTGTAGATTTGCCTCTTCGGAACAGTTCAAGAAGTAGAATCCTACAATAGATGGCCTTTTTGACTGGCTTCTTTCACTTAGCACAAGATTTTCAAGGTTCACCCATGTTACAGCATGTTTCAGTGTTTCATTCCTATTTATTGCTCAAGAATGGAAGAATAGGTGTTTTGAACTTTTTCCTTCCTTTCCTTTTAATGAAATTCTGCCTAAGTTTCAAGTGTCTCCTCTAAATTTCCAGATCATTCCTTTGTAAGTCGTGGCCATCTCTCTGTGTTCTCATAGGATAATTCTTATGTTCCCCAGCAGCAGTCCCTTAGTTTAGGTGTATAGTTAATATAGCCCATAATGTCACTTTGTAGTTCTTCTTTCCTTCTATCCACAAATATACTTATCTAGAATCAGGAGAAAGGCCACACCCTGGAGCTCAATCTATGGCCCCACAATGACCAGATTCTGCCTATGATGCTACTTGGTCATTTTGGTGTTTTAGAAAACTAAGCAGATCTTGAATATTTAATAAAAGTCAGATTCCTCAATAAGCAGATGGGTAAATCAGCCAACCCAAATATGTGTGTATGGCAGCTACTGGATTGGAAATTTGAACACAAAAATCCTTATAATACTTGGTCTGTCAGCCAGAGATCTGAATTTGAGTATAAAAGGGAATAAAAGGAGATTAGCAGTGCCATCCAAAGAAACCATTCCTGATGTTGAAACAGGCTTTGACCCCTCAGGATAATAACCAGACTTTTCACAACAGGCTAGCTGATGGAAGTTAGACAATTCTATTAGAGTTTTCAGCCTTAGTGATTGTTTTATACATTGTAATAGTCATCCATAAAAAGGAAAAAAGTAGAAAAGATAAGAAAATTAAAGCTTCAAAATCCTAGTTGTATTGTCTGGATGTCTCTCATTGGATTGCTTGCATTCCCCCAATTTATAGACTTCAGAAGTTCATGCAATTACATATGAGAACATGAGTAGTGAATATCCCCCAAGATTCTCTGAGTTCAGTAATTATGAATTGATTTGTACTCACATAGTTATCTTCCTTTATTGGTCCATAGTTCCAATTTGCAAAAATTAAAAATAAATAGTAAAAGAGCACTCATAAAAAGTCTAATGCTGCTCTTAATAAAGATATTATTATGTTCTTACTCTTCCCTTTGTTTAGCCTCACAAAGGGAGATTTTAATCTTTATAAAAATGTAAATTTCAATACAGATCAAGTGTTTGGTTCAGTTTGTTAGAAACCTGATTTTGTTTGTTTGCTTCATTTGGAGAAAATATAAGATGAAAAAATTCACAGAAAGAGTAGGCATTAGAATCACAGATGATGCAATTTTTGAAATTCCCTTACCATTTGATAAATGTTTCTAAAGTTCTGTTTTTATGTTCTGAACAAAACAGATTGCAGTGCTCTTCCCCAGAAGTTAGTAATAACTTCTTTGTTTTTCAGATACTGCGTTGGCCAGTGGCCAGGCCACAGACTATTTGTTTGTTGGAAATATTGTTTACACGGTAAGTTTATCTCTCTGTTTACGGAACTGTTCTTAAGTGGCATACGTGTGGGCGCTGCCTCTGGAAGCCCTTTATATAAGGCCTTTCTTCATATGATTTGTTTTAAATCTTTCAACTCTATAGTGTAGATTCCTTAAAGCTCAAAATGGTTGTGAAATGCTTACCTCATTTCCTAACGGAGATTTTGCAGAGTCAAGATTTCTAGACAGGTGATTACCAGGTCACCCCGTTCTTCAAATGACAGTTTCACATCTAGCTGTGAAAAAGGCAGCACTGAAGAAGGTGATTTTCCCCAAATCTCTCCAAGCTAAGAAAAGCACAAAAGTGACTCCCACCACCTCTGGAGGGGAGACTTGGGATTTCTCCTGGAAAGTAATAATAAGTCACTGAGGATAATACATTTTCCCCAATTCCTGTTTGTTTTCACAGTATGTTGTTGTCACTGTGTGTCTGAAAGCTGGTTTGGAGACCACAGCATGGACTAAAGTAAGTTTTCTCTGGAACTGTTGCACTATCCACTACAGATATTTTAATGGCATGGATCTTTTTTTAAGCTTTGGGAAGCCAATCAGCAGGATCTAGCTATCTTATTTAAATTTTGCATGTAAAAATTGTCATTTGGTCTTTATCAGGGCAAATTTGCAAATCCAAAGTTTTCTGATGATTCATTTGCTTGGTACTTACTAACAGCTCTAAGCTATTAACAGTCCTTTCGTTTCAAATGTATATGCACACAGAAAATACAGAAAGACAAAAAGGAGAATTTCTAATTTCCATAACTTTATGAACAAGAGACAGTTACTGTTAACACTTTTCTGGATAACATTACAGACGTTCCACGTTTATATTTTTAATAAGATAATGCATTATAGAGCATATAGTTTTGTGATCCTTTTTTCCACACCTTAAAGTTTACTTCTACAAAATCTTTGTTCATGATTAAAGAGTATTAAGTTTGATCAATATCCCATCGTTTAATCATTCCCCAATTTTAGACATTTTGGTGATGTACCACATTTTGGGAACATAACCCATGTTTCGTGTTTATTTATCACTGTTGTATAAATAGGCTCCTAATTCTGTGCTGGGAAAATGAGGGAGGAGGTTGGAGATGCTTGTGGGGAATCCATCAAGTGACAATGGTAATTAATCCAGACAAGAGGCTTGGCCTGGGCTCTTACAGGGGGAGGTAGTGAGCAATGGTCAGATTCCAGAAGTATTATTTTTGAAAAGCTAACAGACTTTGATGATGGATTATATCATGGAGTCTGGAAGTAAGGAAGAAGTCAAGGGTCGTCATATTAAGACAAAGCAGAAAAGGCTAACAACTCAGCAGATGCTTAAAGGATTGTTAAGATGTAATATCCAACCCAGATTTGTAAAAAATTCTTTGGAAAATGAGAAGAATAATCAAAGTCTCAAAACAATAAGTAAGAACATCTTGTTCTTTTTGTCCATCTGGTGCTTTCTTACTGGATTAAGGTGAACTGGCCTATGTAGCTCCAAGTTGGAGCAAATACCGGTGAGGATCAGCCAGGGGCCAGCTAAAACTGTGCAATGGGTCTAGGAGAAAGTCCGCTGAGGCAGAGAAAGCACCTTGATCTTCAGGGTAGTTTGGGGCCACCAGTTCCTTGAATTCACTGTGTAACATTCTGAGACAAGATAATTACGAGACGGCACTTTCCAATGACGGATGACTAGTCAAAACGTTTCCATGAAGAAAGCTGGCCTGGACACAGGGGTTCTGCTGCAGGTGGGGTTCGGGTGGCTCTCCTTTGCCAGCAGAGAAGCCCCACCTGAGTCTGTGTTTCCTTTGCAGTTCAGTCATCTGGCTGTCTGGGGAAGCATGCTGATCTGGCTGGTGTTTTTTGGTGTCTACTCAACCATCTGGCCCACCATTCCCATTGCTCCAGATATGAAAGGACAGGTCAGTGCTCCTAACTGTGAGTGGGCTTTCCCTGTCTCATGACAACAATGCTTTCCGTGTGTGGGCTCTCTATGTCTCATGACACTGATGAACTTCAGGAGAGGTTGGTGCGGCCTGCTTCCATCAGCATTCATCAGGAGGGAAACAGACCAAATCAGAGAACCTGGAAGAGGTTGCCTTGTCCACAGAAATGGCATTTGAAATTTTTTTTTAATTTTATTTTATTACGTATTGGAGATTGTCAACTTAAATCTGCTGGCCTACCTGGCATGTCCACATTTCCATAATGAATTGTGTATTAATTACACACAGTCCTGATGTGTCCAGGTAGTTCATGGCCCTTGGAAAACTGGAGATGTTCTGAGTCGTTCACCATCCAGTGATGATGTGGATGGTCATCGTGAGATTAAGTGTACTACAATGATCTGATTATTAGTCACCTGTGAAAGAGAAATCTAACAACTCCATTAGCCAGATCATTGATTAACCAGAATATCTCATTGTTCTCTTGAACTAGAGAGGCTGAGATTGAAGACCTATTAACTCATTTAAATTTGTTTAGTATTTTCTTTTCTTTTGTATTATCTTTATCCAGTGTTTGAGACTAAGCCATCAACAATGACAAGCTGGATCTTAGAACCCTATAGTATTGGGTCTGGAGAGGAGTTTGACAATTCCAGGTTCTGAACCACCTCAGTTTACAGATGAAGCTGCATAGGCCCAGACACTCCAGGCTCACCCCATAGACCCCCATTTTGGGGTCTGCCCATATCCAGCACTGCCCTAAGATCCTACCAAGTGGCTGCCCCAGGCTCTGTGCTTTGGAAGCCTCTGAACTGGCCAGCCTTGGCTGGATCTGTTCCTCTTCATAGGGTGAGAAGCCCATGGTACACAGAGACAGAACCCTACTTCTAGTCCATCCCCTAGGTTCCCAGGATCTTGAATTTCCTTCCCCAATAGCCACAAAAGCCCATTTCCCAGGCCTACCTGGTCCTCTCTCCAGATCCAAGCCTTTGTGAATACCCTTGGCCCAAGAGGCAGCTAGTTGTAAGACACATACTTTGGGCCAATTGAATGTTAGAATCTATATAGCCACCCCGATTTGCATGAGGACGCTCATGCTATAGAACAGAACCAAGGATGAGAAGAGAAGGCCTATGGGTCAGGTGCTTCCACTGGTGTTCCTGCCCCAGGAATGCATATTTTAGGGCCAGGCCTGTGCATGCCACATCTGGCTACTATCTTAGCCTCACTTCCTCTGCAGAAATAAGCCCAAACTCCTAGGTCTACCCAACTCTAAATACATGGGCAGCAGCTGTGTCATGTGAGATAACCCAGGGCTAGCACTGTGTGCCTTGTTCCCTTGGCGAATCAGTAGCTGACATATACCCCAGGATGTGTCAGACCTCCTCGAGTGTGGATGCTAAGCAGGACAGACATGTGCTACAGAAGTAGCCGTGTATGTCCTCTAATGCATCTACACTGTCTGTAAGGATTGAGGACAAACCCATAACACACGTGGCAGTTCTTTTGCAAACACAAGTGATGGCAGAAATCACAGCGCATTGAATGAATTAAGAAGATTGTGGAGCATTTAAAGAAATCAGTTATATTTTAAAGCAATGTGAATCATCCCCCCAAAAACAAACCAAGACAAGTATTCACAACAACGATGATCAGTTGGTAAGGTGGTGGTGCCTAGAATATCTGCTTCATGTTCTCTTCCTTCTGGGCAAGAGCAGGTGTGGCCTCATGACTGTTTCTTTCAGGGGATTTTACGGTGCAGGACAGCAGCTGATGGATGCAGAGAGTTTCTTAGGTGAGAGGAGAGAAAGCTGGCAGAATGGAATCAGTCCATGTGTGACCAGCCAACAAAACCCATTCTTTTGGAAGCCCCCCACCAGATGCTCTGGTGCGCCCCTCTGTGTGCATTTGCAGCAGCAACTCCAGGTCAGAGGTGCACGAGCTAGGCTGGTTTCTGACTCACTCCAAGCAGTAAGTTACTTTCCAAGGGCAGAGAGACCACATCTGCCAGGCAGACACTACTAACATGCCACATAGTCAAGTATCCAAGTTGGATGCTGGTCTGTGTGGTGTGAGGGCTCAGCCTAATGGTGAAATTTCTGTCATTGGGGACTTTTCAAACACATTTAATGAGGTATTCCTACCATCCCAAAGCAAAGAAATCATAATATCAAATCACAAATCACTTTGGTATAATTTTTTTTAATTTTTTACATATTCCCTGTCATTCTCGCTTTTTTGTTGGTTGGTTGGTTTGCATGAGGCAAATGATGTTGTTTTGAAATCAAACATAGCTGGCTGAAGCTGAGGTTCTCATTAGACGTTGAATGAGATGGTTAATATGTGCTTTTCATGCACAGGACTTCCGAGTGGGTATTCTGCTGTCTGTGTGTGAAGAGCTGTTTGTGATCACTAGTCTTCCTCCCGGGGAGACCTCTTAGTGGGGACAGGGTGTCAGAAAACAATGTCAGAGCCAACCTAACAGTCTTTGACCTGGTGTCTGCTGCCCAGCAGTTTGTTCATTCTTTGAACACTTTTGAAGAAGACCTTACGTGGAGAGTGGCCAAAACTAGCTGGAGGTCTCCCAAAGACTTCTTGCTGCCTCAGAAGGAATTACAGGCTATCATGAAGAAAGACGGGAGCTGGGCTCAGGTACAGGCAGGAACAGGGCTCCTTGGGGCTACTACTGAGAATATGCCCAAGCCATGGTCATCCCTTTGGTTCTAGGTTGGTCTTATGGACTCAGGGTTTGTGTCCCCACCCCAGATTCTCGTGTTGAGGCCCTAACCCCCAGTGTGATGGTATTTGGAGGTAGGGTATTTGGGAAGTAATTAGGTCATCAAGAGGATTGGTGCCCTTATAAGAAGGGTGCTCTTGTAAGAAGGGGCCGGAGAGCTAGCTCACTCGTTTTCTGCCTTGTTGACAATACAATGAAAAGTTAGTTATCTGCACCCGAAAGAGCGTCCTCACCACCATGCTGGCACCCTGATTTCAGACGTCCAGCCTCCAGCACCGTGAGAAATAAATGTCCCTGGCTGATAAGCCACCCAGTCTATGGTATTTTGTTATAGCAGCCTGAACTAAAACAGTTGGTGAATGCTTAGGAGTGAGGGGTACTCTGAGGAAAGACTCTTTTTATTATTATTATTATTATTATTATTATTATTATTGGATGTTTCTAGTGATTTGTATAAACCATTTTTTGTAGTTCACAGAGCAGTAGGATTTTGGCAAATGAACACGGTTCTTTTGAGCTTTGGAATTAAACTAGTGTCTAATGGCAAACGGCATTTCTCACTTGGGAGCCTGAGACAGATGCCCCACACAAAACATTCTGTCTATGCATAACATCTTCAACTGTTGAAAAGATGCATTGTTTCTGCTGGGGTTTCCTAATGCATTTGGTTAAATATATCTTTGTCTCGTCCATTATATCTGGAGTTTTTCTCATGAGGGAGAAGGCAGGTTTTCCCTCGGGGGCAAAGGAGGAGAAGGCTCTAGATGAGAGTGATTTTCCACTGTCAAAGGGTCTTTATCTTCCCTCCAGCACCTCATGATATGATACACAAAACCCAACCAGACAGTGACCAGGATGTCCCAGTGGAAGTTTCTGAAATCAAAGAAGTCATCTGTGGAGTCCCTCCTGAAAATACGCAACATTTGTGGGATTTTAAGGGACACTTTGTTTTTCCATTTTTCTAGGACCAAGCTAGATCTAAAGTGAATTAAAAACTCAAGTTGTGTCTATCCTGGTTAAAGCCCAAGTCCCCTACCAGGGAAAATATGAGCTGATGTTTTTCCATAGGGGACCGTCTGTTTTTCTTTCTCCCAGGAGCATAACCATGGGTTACAAGAATCTCCATAATGGGTCCCCAAAGCCAGTGCTTGAAGGTGGAAAACTACAAACGTCATTTAGCTCAGAGTTGTCTGCTGAAGGAGAGCTTGCAATTAGAGAGATGAGGAAAACTTTATCTAAAACCGATCAGGAAATGTCCTTTCATTTTCTTCACGTGTTTCTCAAGACTTCTTGATTTGGGGAGTATCTGAGGGGATGCTATCTCATTTGATGTCTGTGTAAAAGGCCAAAGAGACCTGCCCCAACTAGCTCTGTCACCTTTGGTGAATCACTCAGCCTGTGTTAATTTCCTTATTGGCAAAGTCAGAATAATATTACCCACCCTCATTATCTCAGAGGAATGTGGTACAGATATAAGAAGAAAACCCAAGGGAAATGGAAAACACGCCTGCTCTTTTTCCTGGAGTAACCATTTATTTTTTAACTTTTATAAATAGAAATAGTGTGACTTCAACTCCTAATTCTTTTAGGCCAAAGAATTTTAACATTTTATAGGTTCTAGATGTGATATTTCTCAGTAAGGTCCAGGGACCACCTGCATCTGAATCATCTGGGTTACTTGTTAAAAAACAACCTCCTCCCCACCCAGAAAATATATTCTTGCAACACACACACACACGCGCGCGCGCGCGCACACACACACACACACACACACACACACACAGAACCACAGTCCTGGGGTGCATAGCCACAGCCTCTGAATTTTAATAAACCTGCAAGCTATTCCTCCTTAAACGTTTGAGAACCACTGCTCCAAAACCCCTAAAACTGTGAGGGAGACCTCACAGTGTTTGAGTCACGCAGGGTGTTCCAGGAGAAGATGGTATATTTAAAGTATCGCAGTTGATGTATGTCTCCCGGGCAGTGGTTATGTAAGACTCGGCAGATATTGCCAGTGTAGCTGCTTTAAGGTAACTCGCTTTCTACATAGAGAATTATACTGAAAGACATTACATCGTTCACCATGGAAAAATAGTCCTCATCAACTTTGGTGCTTTTCCTTTAACGTTCTTTTCATTGCTAGTAAAAGAGGGGGAAAATTTTTCACTTCAAAGCCTACAAACTGTTAACTTTGTCTGCAATGCCAAGCTCCAGGCTCCAGCCAGTTTCTGGCGTATGA